TTTATCTGATGGCACAGAAAAGTGACTGACTCTTACTGTCAACATTGAAGTGCATCCCCAACCATAAGGTCTGGGGAAGGAACCTCGATGACCAGAGCTGCTCCATGATGAAACGGTTCTCTGTCTCATCCTCAATGGTCAGGACATCGGAGGTGTTGACTAGTGGGTGACAAAAACAGAAACATGACACACTCACGATAATTAGTGTTGTAAAGGAATGCGAATATGACAAAAATATGTATTTGCTTTCTTACTAAAAGGCAGACGTTTGAATTTAACCTTCATTTTTGAATGCAATATATGAGCAGATACGCTGAGAATGCCGGCCTGACTTTGAAGAGATAGGAGATAGGAAGCAGGGTGAAACAACAACTTGGCTCTGTCCTGTTATAACTGTGAAGTTGGCAGGCGAGAAGAGACGTCTTAAGGAAAAAAATCAAAGAAAATACCAGAAAAATAACCCGCCGCAAAAAACAAAACAAAACACAGCTTAACGTTACACTTTACTTTTTATTGCCATGGGTGGATGTTATCTTTGCAGAGAGACAGGCTCGTTGTTTCATCCTGCTTCTGAACTTCTTGCCAAGTTCAGCTCAGCTTCATTAATCTAGGTGCTGCATGTGGTCCTACAGTGCTGTGAAAAAGCATCTCCCCCTTTACTGATTTCTACATTTTTTGTCAAACTCGGATGTTTCAGATAAACAAGCACATTTTAATATTAGAGAACGATAACCCGAGTTATTTAGTTTTAAAATGATGGCTTCAGCTATTAAGGGAAAAAAGCTCTTCGGATCTATTTGTCCCTATTTGAAAAAGTAGTTTCTCTCCTTGGTGAATCATGAATGAACTGGGATTAACTACACTTAATTTCACTAGCCACACCCAGGCCTGATAATTGGCAGACCTGTTGAATCAAGAAATCACTTAAATAGAACCTGTCAGACAAAGTAAAGCGGGTTAAAGAAACTCAAAAAGCAACACGTCACGCCACAGTCTGAAAAAACAGCTGAGAAATAAGGTAATTTACAGCTATCGGTCTGGAAACATTAACAGATAGCAGCTGCGTTGGTAGTGACTGTAAGTCATATCCGACGAATAGCTTACCTTTATTCCTGCAGTGCTCTCTTGACTTCTCAAAACTACGTTTCTCCGCCACGGACTCAAAGCTGTAACAACCATGTCCAAATTTCACCCATGTGGAGGGACACGCCATCACATTCGCAGTTAACGGTTTATTGCCTGCGAGGGACAGCAGGAGAAGGCGGGAAATGGGTATTTTCACACATTCCGCTG